GCAGCGCTGCTCGTGCCGATCACCGCTGCAACTAGATTTTGCAGCTGAGTTACGCTCACTTTTTCTGAGCGCATCTCAGCTGCTTTGAGCTGCAAACAGCTCTTTGTTTTGAATCTGCCTATTTTTGGCTGTTTTCATGCTATATTTAGCACTTTATGAACAAATTCCGTCTTTCTTGCTTGAACAAGTCATGAATGCAACCTAAGACCGTCAAATCAGGATTTTAGAGGCGGATATGGGAAAATATTGGAATGAACTGGAGGAACATATTCCATGAAGTTGAAGAGATATGAAAATCAAATGAACTACAGATTGGCAATATTTAAGTTGGCGGTGTGGTCAGATAAAATTTTGTCTCCAGTGGACCCGATTATGTCATTGCCTGAAGGACACTCTCATACTGCTAGGAGAGCCATTGACAAGGGTCAAATGCAATCAGTACACTTATGCTCCTCTTAAGTTTGCTCGTATGAGGTTACCTTTACATTATGAATTTAACCACGAAAATTGGAAAATGACCTCATGAAAAACCTCTCCTCTTAAAAGTAGAATACGATTCCAGATCCAACTCAAAACATGCTATTTCACTCGTTTTCGACATTAAAACCTGGCGATAGGCAGATATTTTGTATGGTTTTTGCAGTCAACGAGTACTCAAGATGCAGCCGACTGCAGCGCTGATCAGCCGAAGCAGCTCTGCCTTCGCTGCTCGTTGTGTCCATACCTAAGCAGCCAGGTATGTATCAAGCCTAATAGGCGCGCCCTCGGGATGGGCATGTGGCTGGCCGGCAGATGCTCGCCATAACTGTCTGAGCACACTTACCTGCTTATTGTTGCTGGCCACTGCTAGTTGGCCGCCCTCACGCCGCAATAACACTAAATGAGAATGACTCGCACATAGAAATGATAGCAAGTTAGTCTAACGCGTTGATGGTACGCCGCCCATCCGCTTGAGGGGATGGCCCGCCGCTGGTCAAATCAAGGTCCGCCGCTCGCACGCTCAGTAGCGAGGGTACGCCGCTCGTCAAGAAAGCCACGCCCACAAATCAAAGCTCGCCGCTCGCCCGGAAAGCCATTAAGGTCCTCCGCTCGCCCGAGTTATTGTCTGAGTAAAAACGAGATTAAAATTTAGTAGATACTGAGTCCTTAGACCTTGTGGGATGCGAACTGGTGGGCTATGCTTGAGTTACCGCAAGTTAAAACTTTTTAGAGCTTTTAACACCTTTGCGTGCCGAACGGTTAGATGGTTAGGCCTTTACCTAGAAAAATAAACTACATCTACTAGTTCACCAAATTTCCAAGCGAAAGACTGCTTAAGACCAACGCTTTGCACTCATTGAAAATCGAGGATGTTACCTAAGATATGTTTATCCACGAAATTCAGGGCAGTACGTTTTTCACCCGAATATGGTAAACTGAATAATGTTTTGATTGGTTTTGTACTCTAATATTTTGAGCAATCACAGCGTGCCTCGCGTGGAGTAGCCGTTTGAGAAGATCAAAAGTTGGTGAGCCCCTTTTCTTTGAAGCCCCTCCTTTCCTCTCGACGGGGTCCTTGACGGAGTTGTCCTCGCTAGGTTGAGACAGTCAGTTGAGCCCTGGGGATTATGACCTCATCTAATTGCGTAGGAGTAGGGAACAGGATCTTGGAGAACGAACGACTCTCATTTTTAGAAATGGAGAACGACCAGATGATCTAGCAAGGATTGCTGCTGCTATTAACACTCAACCAGAGCATTACCTTTTTTATTTATATTGTGTTTCTGTTGTTTTCATAACAGAAACACACAAATAAGGAAAGGTAATGCTCTAGTCGAATTTTTTTAGTTTTTGGAATACCACTGATCGTATTACATAAATAAAGAAATAAATATTCACTCGTTGCAGTTTTGCAAAGAATTCCAACTCCCTGCAGAGCCCGATAAAAGTACCATGTCAAATATGGTTAGGAAAGTCTGCGAGATTTGAATCGCTGCCTCCGATGACTACTTTAGCCCGTTCAACCTGCTGAGACGGTAACTATCGCATACTATCGCACTCATCGGGCTTAATTACGCGTCGCTTCCAGGGGGCGGAGACGCCCTAGCTTTTAGTTGAGATTTTTTATGAGATAGATATGTCTACTATGTTGAGGTGTTTCTCAGCCGGCTTCCCTTTATTGGAAAAGTAGCCTGACGCTGGAATTGTGAGCAAAATTTTTGCCGCAGAAATCGCGCAGGGTGAATTGAACTCTGAATTCAGCAGGGCAATATTACGTAAAGCTCTAACCAGTAGACTAACTCTTCCTCGCTTGTTGAATAACTGTCAACCTTAAAAAAATCAAGTAAGACTTTCTCTATGTTGAATGAAAAGTGTGCGAGGCTAGCTCATTATATCCTTACTCTTTATAAAACATTAGGTAAGTTTCGTTCCGAACACTGCAGTGACGCAGTGACGTTTCGAACAGTGCAGAAATTCGCTCCGTGAAAGTTTTTCTTGAGCATGACAGCATTTTGGCGCCTCAAATTCATCGCTTGAAATTCCATCAAAGCTATTTCATCGAGAATCACTGAGCTTTGGCAAAAGCAAGAAAACTGCTTCTAGATACTGCTCGTTATTACTGCAATAAGTGCAAAACTTTAAAACAGTAGCTTCATTAAAACAAGGCAACTAAAAATCGGGCAGGACTGAAATAACTTACAAGGGAAGCTATCTAATTTAGCTTGGCCTTTTGGCAAGGGACGTAGATGATTGGAATCAGCTCAAAAGCTAATTCCAAATATGCTATTCCTAGCTGCCGAGCAACATTTCGAAGCGAGTTATTGATTTTTGCTGCGTAAATTGGCATACTCATCGACTCATTGGCATCACGGCATCGTCACCTAAGTGCTAAAACACTTGCTCAAGCTTCTTTTTGTTGAGAAAAATTGGATTGCTATCATTTCGATGTCCCAATCCTTTTTTCTAGCAGGTTCTTATCCACACAGCCCCATGTTCAGGAATATGCCAAACGCAGGAAAAAGCCCATAACTCGCATCGAAATAATGCGCGGCGGCTAAGGATAGCATATTTGCAATCAGCTCTGCGTCCCCAACCTGCGGTACGCATAGCGAACATGCTCTCAACATGCAGCAACATATCAACATCAATGCTAGAAGCTGAAAATTCTACCGACATGTTTTGCATGCTTAACATGTTCATCTTATTGCTGACCTACTACAGCGCTCATAATTCGTCAAAAAAGTAGCCGCACTCTAGCGAGCAGCAGGGTGCGCCGCACTTCACTAGGGTGTGCCGGAATTCGCGTCGCACACCATATCTCGCCTCAGAATAGAGGTATCTTTAATCCCAAGTACACCGTTCGACTCAGCTCTTGGCGAGACGCATCATCCGGTATCAATGGCGGACCCGAGGGGGGATAATTTTTGAAATTTTTCAGAAAATTTGAGTTAGCCCTGTAAAAAATTTCTTTCGAGAGCGTGGCTGGCGCCAAGCACCTTCATTGGGAAAAAATTTTTGTCGACCCCCCCTGTCCGAAATCCTGGAACCGCCACAGTCAGGGCCCGGCACGAGCTTATCAAATGACAAGCTGGAAATCGTTTTCGGCAAAAAAGCAAAGGGAAAATCGTTTTTGCGGGGTCCGGGGCGGAGCCCCGGAAAAAAATTGGTAGTGCACGTTCTCTGCTTATTTTAACATGTTATGTGCCTCAACATGCGAAGACTGGAGTTCGCGCGCGTCAAACCGCGCCGTCGCTAATTGCCGCACGCGCGACGTCGCTCAAACGAGCTATTTGTAACAGCATACATGACTAGTTCTCAATGTACGCGTCACGGTATGACACCAGATTTTGTAGGCGAACGGAGAGAGGCTAGTGGAAGCAAAGTATGAAATTTATGAAAAACTTATGTGAACGGGACGAGTAATAAGCATTTTTTCCAAAGATTTTGCAAAATTGGTAAATGAAGTTGTAAATTCAAATGGCTCGTTTGCAACGCGCAGATGACGATATGGTATGAAACTTGGTACGCACGTGGACACAAGCCTGTAGGAGCTAACTTAGGAGCTTCATTGAAAAATTATGTGACTGAAGGTTGTGGCAAAGTTTTTTTCTGAAAATTTCCTGCTACCAAAGAAATGGAAAAATGGCTCGTTTGCAACGCAGAGGCGACGAAATCGCGCGGGATTCGGTATGTATATGCGCAGTAGGACTAAGTAACAAAGTATGAAAAATTATGAAAAACTTATGTGAATGAAGAGTTTCCCCAACTTATTTCCAAATTAGCTTGTCATTTGACAAGCTAATGACAAGCTGAGCTTGTCAAAACTCTCAATTCACATAATTTTTTTCAAAATTTTTACATAAATCTACTCTACACCTAAACATTAGTATATATTGAAATTTTGGTTTCAAACCTCCTCCTCTCCCCATTGCTAGAGGCAAAAATAGCCTCAGCAGCCCCGCTTCCTAAGGAGGAAAGCGCGCTCCAATCGACAACGGCGTCGCTGAGTCCTTTAATCGACGTCTAGTTTCATAACTTACTAATTCTTTTTACGCTGTTTCCACCTTTTCACATTCCTTCTTTGCTTTCGCTGTTATTCATCGGCTTACTAGTTTTTGTCATTGTTGAGGGTGTACTAAAGGCTGTTGTGGCTGATTCTGCTAAAGGCTGCTTTGTTGCTGATTCCCAAGGGCAGGCAATTCTTGCAACGGCTCTATTTTTTCAAAAATTAGAGAAGATTTTTATTCGGATGATCAGAATTTCCATTACCTTTCCAGCATTTTCAAACTCTCAGTCTGTACTAAGCGGTCATCTTACTTACGTTGTTCTAATCTGTGCCTGTCCTATTTTCATTATCGCTATCACAGCACTTATGGTCGTCGGCGTTACGGGCTCATATTGTCGTGTGTTCCTTCTTGTTTTTTTAACTCGTTTGCCTTATTTAGATGTTCTTGATCGATTTGCTAGAATTACTGTCTCTTCTCAGTGGGATCTAGAATGTGCATACTACTTCTCTGTCTTTTAACGAAGGCAGCATGCGCAGCACCCTTTACCTTCTACTGCATATTTTAGTTCTTTTTGCAAATAACCCTCAAACCGTTCTGTTCCGGGAGTAACGTCACTGTCTGCTTCATCCGCCGTCACCTAATCGAAATTGGATGAGTCGAAAGGTACTAGTTCTTTCTTATGTTTGCGTTGTTCATTTTAATTACCCATTTGTTTTGTTCTTAATTTATTAGAAATTTCCATTTTATTCTGTCAAAGAATAAGCCTTTTGTACACTTCACATTCGCTTAGGTTTCTGATGGGTGCTTGCAGTTCGAGAAGTTAGCGATGGGGCACAGGGCTAGGAAAGAACTGAACACTTCCTTGTTTCCCTTAGGCCCCGGACAGACTTCACGCGACTTAATCGTCGCGTTCTAATCGTCAAGATTTCCATTCATTTTCATTTCACATTCACAAATTTTGGGCTGGAAAAGTACCACAACCGAATGCAAGTTGATCGACATGGAATGATGTTGTAACAGTTGTCTCGTCGCGACCATCAAATCGCGTGAAGTCTGTCCGGGGCCTTATAGCGATTGCAATTTGATTTTTGTATTAGGCATGCAAAAGTGAGAATGAGGGAGAAATCAAGTTTGTTCAGAAAGCCCTGACTTTGATTATGCACTATTAGTTGGTAGTTTTGTTCTAGAAGGTGAGGCTAGGCCTTGGTTTTTTCAAGACAGCATTTTGGGGGCATCTGGTCCAAAAAAGCCAGAAGACATGGTCGATTGATAAGGAAATGGAACGCTGTATGCGTCTGGAGCACCTTGTACAGCATCAATCGATCTTAATTGAGTTTCGCGTATCCAAAACATTTTGTCTTGAAATACTGTCTAACAAACGTGTTTAGAAAAGCTGTTTCTTTTGAATCCGTAATCATGTTACCATCGCTATTCATGGCAACGCATTTCCAGATGGTTACCGAAGTAGTGTCATCTGTGCGGTTTTCAAGGTCTTCAGTATGTGTACAAACACCATAGGTTCGTTTTCATACAGACTTGCGTATTGGGATATACTGAGTGGTTTTCCAGTGATGTTCTGAACTCTGAAAAGTTTGGAGCCTGTGTTCCCGATCACAAAGAAGGCGAACGTTTGCCTGTTTTATCTTTTCGGTGAGTTTCAAATTTCTGCCTAAAGTGCAAGTACTTCTGCACTTTGGCTTTTTATCCTTTTTTCTCATGGTTAGTCTATGTGAGTTAGCAACGATAGCACCTTTTTCTTTCAGTTGTGGTTGTTTTGTTCTTGTTCGACAGTGTGAAGCCTGATGGGTTTTACTCAACTTATGATCTGTGGGGTCAAGGTTAGTTTTTTTCTGTTGATTTTTTCAGTGCAGGTGTACCTTTTGAACTTTAATGTTAGGTGTAGAGTACATCTGTTATCGTTGCTTCATCGAGCAAAGGCGCTCCGCTTTCGGTTATATTTGACTGTTCTTTCTTGTTACCGTGAGTATCATTAATTCTCCGGCCAGACTTCGCTTAAAAGCGCCCAAAAGCGCTCGTAAGCACCCAAAAGCGTCCAAATTTCTCTAATTTCTCTCATCTCTCCACACACGAGAAAGTGAAGAGACTTGGGCGCTTTTGAGCAAAGTCTGGCAACTAAGCATCTTTTATCCCGAAGTATCTGCATTCAGGCTAGTCCCATCTGAGATTAGCACTTTGCAATTCTCGGTGTTGTCACATCCAGCAGACGTAAAGAAGAGCAGACCTTTGGGAGTATTGGCGTTGTTCTCATTACCTGATGCGAGATCTCATGCTGATGCACCCGAATCGGGCTTCACGTTCCGCGCGGCACGATATTGAGAGTTTGAGTTAACGTTCGAGTACTACGGTGATTGTCCTTCTTTAGCTTTGAACGATGAAAACTTCTGTGATTTGCTCTTCTTATCGCTGTTTCCGTTATTGTAATATTTTAGGTCACCTCATTTTGGTTTTCTATTGCTAGTTTCTCCAAACATGAATTATAATAAAGAACGTAAATGTCAGCAAATACACAAAAATCATTTCTTTGTTGCATCTGTAAGGGCTCGACGTGCTATTATACGCACTTTAAAAAATGGATTGAGGATTTGAATTGAACATTCGGCATGAGTGTGAACGGTCGCAAAAATACCAAATCTAAAACACAGTATTGAAGTAGAAGTAAAGTAAACAGCTTTCGGGAAGCCAGAAGCTCCAAAGAGTTTAAGCTCCATGATCGACGATTTATGGTTTTTGACCTAGTGCAGTACTGAGTGAGATCTCTTCAATCATTTTGAATGACTGAGCCATCCCCAATTCGCCGCAAATCTAATATTCAATTTGACTGGTTTTTTTTTACGAGGTAGCTGATCATAAATTCTAGTACGTCTAATACGGTGCAAATTTTTTTTGACTTCGTTGCAGAGATCTTTAGCATGATCTCATTTGTTTTTGGGTACTGTCATAAACGAATTTTGTTTTTTCTTCAACAGAACTTGTTCTATGGGTAAAGTGTTCACTGCGCAATCACTGGAACCAATTTTTGGGTCAAAGGGGTAATCGTAAAAAAATTTTGGGGTCAAAGGGGAATTCGTTTTCAAAAACCCCTTTTGACAAGCTCGTGCCGGGCCCTGGCCACAGTCCGGTGTATAAATGTGCCACAATCTGTCGGGGTAAATAAGTTTATTGTTAGAGTATGTTTGCCTCAATTTTGCAGATTTTTTGGTTGGCTTGTCCAGTGTGCTGGTAACAATATCGCCATCGATTTGCTGCTGAAGGCACATCTTAGGGGTTCTATAGGAGCACGGTAGAGAGTCACTTTGACGGATTTGTTCTGAAATCAGCTCAAGGTATAATACCGCTCACCGAATCTGCAAAATTCGGTGAACGTCGCAAAAATCGAGAATTCCACGAAAGTCCGACTTTCCAGGAATCCCGCGTCATTCCAAAAATTTTACGGAATCAGGGGAATTCCGCGGAATGATAAGAATCACGCAACTACGCAGCACCATAACTTCCTTCGGAATGAATGTAATCTGAGCCTGGAAACAGCATTGTGTTCAGCTTGCCAAGGTAAATCTTGGTGCACAGCACGACCTCTACATTACGTTTTCAGCTTCCTCACATTCTTCTGCGAAGCTTCTTTCGCAAAGATGTAACGCAGCGTTTATCCAACATAAAAGACTCCAGTAAGTACCTATTAGATAGTGCTGTGCTTGTAGGTTATTGTGCGCTAAGTAGTAGCCGCAGACTTCTTTTCAAAAAAGATAGAAGTGTTGGTGAATTTCAGAAAATTCACGCGTTTCCAAATTTTACTCGCCGTAACTTCCTTCAGAATCAATCAGAAAAAGTGCTCAGCTTATCAAGGCGAATCTTTCGGTATACAGGATGTCCTTAATATTCCGATTTCAGTATTCTTGATTTTTCCTGCGGACGTCTCTTCGCAAAGGTATAAAGCAACGCGCATTGCTCCTAATAGACAACATTAGTCTGCAGATTATGAACCGTCAAAAAGCAGCCGTATGCCCCTTTCCAAAGGAGATAGAGGTGCTGGTGAACTGTGGAATTTCGTCTCAAATTCCACTCGTCTTAGCCCTAGAATACGAAGCTATCTTGCCAGGCAAGTGCGAATTTCGTAATCAGCAGGCCTGATAACCCTTATGAGCAACTTTCCAGAGAATTTCGGGTTATTTGATTTTCGTTTCACGTTCTGAAGCTCGCCAGTGGGTTTTGGTCGAAATGTTGATGATCTCGGTTTGAAAGGAAACTCCGCTCATAGAGTTTTGAAAACGCTGTTTATGAAAATTGCGGTTTCTGTCAAGTATAGAGTCACAGATAAGTGAGGTGACTTAGACTAAGTCATGAAAGTTCGTAACTTCGCTTACACTCCTTGCGTATCTGAAAACCTTGCTCGCTTTACAGATTAAAGTTGGTAGGAACTGTACTATCGAATGCTGGATGTTCTTAGGCTCTTACCGGCCTACGAAAACACTCCCTCATGAATTTCGACCAAAATGTAAAAATCGCATACTTCGTCGAACTCCCACCATGAGTGATTACATGACATTCAAATTGCAAATGCTTTGTTCACTTCGAACCAAGGGATCTAACTGTATCGAGTATGGTGGTTGCATATGCTTCAGCTGCGCAATTGAATATCACAACAACTTCATGGCTAGAGCTCAGATCTATCTATCTACCAAGTCTAACACAATAAAGTCCATCAAGCAGGTGAAAAGATTTGCTCGCGCTTGTTATGCAACCACTCACGGTGGAAGTTCGACGAAGTATGGAAGTACGAACTTACCTCTTCAAACTTCCACCGTGAGCGGCTGCATAACACGGCGATCAAATCTTTTCACATCGCTAGATGAGCTGAGCACAATGCTTTTTTCTGTTTCAGATTATAATTCCGAAGGAAGTTATGGTGCTGGAATTGCGTGATTCCCATTACTCCGCGAAACTTCCGTGATTTCATGAAGTTCCTGGAATGAAGCGGAATTCCGGACTTCGGACGCGGACTCCGTGGACTTTTCGGATATCCGCGACGTTCACTGAATTTTGCAGATTCGGTGAGCGGTATTATACCTTGAGCTGATTTTAGAACAAATCTATCAGAGTGACTCTCTACCATGATATGTAATGATCTGGCATTTTGTTTCCGTAACATCAGACTAAAAGCGAGATTAAAATTTAGTAGATACTGAGTCCTTAGACCTTGTGAGATGCGAACTGGTGGGCTATGCTTGAGTTACAGCAAGTTAAAACTTTTTAAAGCTTTTAACTCCTTTGCGTGCCAAACGGCTAGATGGTTAGGCCCTCCACCTAGAAAAATAAACTACGTCTACTAGTTCACCAAATTTCCAGGCAAAAGACTGCCTAAGACTAACGCTTTGCAATCATTGAAAATCGAGGATGTTACCTAGGTGTCTATCCACGAAATTCAGGGCAGTACGTTTTTCACCCGAATATGGTAAACTGAATAATGTTTTGATTGGTTTTGTACTCTAATATTTTGAGCGATCACAGCGTGCCTCGCGTGGAGTAGCCGTTTGAGAAGATCACAAGTTGGTGAGCCCCTTTTCTTTGAAGCCCCTCCTTTCCTCTCGCCCGGGGTCCTTGACGGAGTTGTCCTCGTTAGGTTAAGCCAGTCAGTTGAGCCCTGGGGATTATGACCTCATCTAATTTCGTAGGGGTAAAGAACAGGATCTTGGAGAACGAAGGACTCTCCTTTTTTTTAGAACTGGAGAACGACCAGATGATCTAGCAAGGATTGCTGCTGCTATTACACACTCAACCAGAGCATTACCTTTCCTTATTTATATTGTGTTTCTGTTGTTTTCATAACAGAAACACACAAATAAGGAAAGGTAATGCTCTAGTCGAGCTTTTTTTAGTTTTTGGAATACCACTGATTGTATTACATAAATAAGGAAATAAATATTCACTCGTTGCAGTTTTGCGAAGAATTCCAACTCCCTGCAGAGCCCGATAAAAGTACCATGTCAAATATAGCTAGGAAAGTCTGCGAGATTTGGATCGCTGCCTCCGATGACTGGTTACTTTAGCCCGTTCAACTTGCTGAAACGGTAACTATCGCATACTATCGCACTCATCGGGCTTAAATACGCGTCGCTTCCAGGGGGCGGAGACGCCCTAGCTTTTAGTTGAGATTTTTTATGAGATAGATATGTCTACTATGTTGAGGTGTTTCTCAGCCGGCTTCCCTTTATTGGCAAGGGTGGCCTGAAACTGGAATTGTGAGCAGAATTTTGCCACAGAAATCGCGCAGGGTGAATTGAACTCTGACATTCAGCAGGGCAATATTACGTAGAGCTCTAAGCAGTAGACTAACTCTTCCTCGCTTGTTGAATAACTGTCAACCTTAAAAAATTCGAGTAAAGAGCTTCTCTATGTTGAATGAAAAGTGTGCGAGGCTAGCCCATTGTATCCTTACTCTTTATATTAGGTTGATGCATAATTCCTGCACCAAAATAGGTACAGACCGCAATAACTCGGAGTAATCCTATATTCCAAGTAGGATTCGATATATCATTTGATAGCGCAAACCTAGCTCTACAAGATGGTGCTCAAATATCTACACCAGCTTTGATCCACGCGAAGTTTTGAGCCAAAAACTGAAAAAAACCATGCGTCCGAAAACCTTAAGACAGATCTTAAAAAAATTGTAACTTCGTTCAAAAAGCTCATACAAATTTTATTTCTTGCTCACGCGTAGACGTTCCACGTAAGACATTTATCTATGCGGTTGCTGTATTTTTTTCTCAACTAGGCGATGAAAAAACGAAGTTTTTTGAAGTTTTTCATGTTTTTGCCAAATTAGTGCTGAGATGTTCTAGTATCAACAGTTGTATAGTACATGCCGTTAGCAGTGAAACTTTACATTTTCAGCCTTCTAGAACTGCTAGTTCGCGAGAAATAACGAATCCAGCTCTCCTTATCCAAATTTTTCTTGCCTAGTTGCAAAAATCCGATATTTCTCGTAAACCAGCTGCTCTAAAAAGCTGAAAATTCACATTCACGCTTCTAAGGTCCTATAGTATACAACTGTCGGTGCTAGAACATCTCAGCATTGTTTTGGAAAAAACATGAAAAACTTCGTTTTTTCATCGCCTAGTTGAGAAAAAAATACAGCAACCGCATAGATAAATGTCTTACGTGGAAGGTCTACGCGAGAGCAAGAAAGAAAATTTGTATGAGCTTTTTGAACGAAGTTACAATTTTTTTAAGATCTGTCTTAAGGTTTTCGGACGCATGGTTTTTTTTTCAGTTTTTGGCTCAAAACTTCGCGTGGATCAAAGCTGGTGTAGACATTTGAGCACCATCTTGTAGAGCTAGGTTTGCGCTATCAAATGACATCTCGAATCCTACTTGAGATATAGGATTACTTCAAGTTATTGCGGTCTGTACCTATTTTGGTGCAGGAATTATGCACCAACCTAATAAAACATTAGGTAAGTTTCGCTTCGAACACTGCAGTGACGCAGTGACGTTTCGAACAGTGCAGAAATTCGCTCCATGAAAGTTTTTCTTGAGCATGACAGCATTTTGGCGCCTCAAATTCATCGCTTGAAATTCCATCAAAGCTATTTCATCGAGAATCATTGAGCATTGGCAAAAGCAAGAAAACTGCTTCTAGATACTGCTCGTTATTACTGCAATAAGTGCAAAACTTTAAAACAGTAGCTTCATTAAAACAAGGCAACTAAAAATCGGGCAGGACTGAAATAACTTACAAGGGAAACTATCTAACTTAGCTTGGCCTTTTGGCAAGGGACGTAGATAATTGGAATCAGCTCAAAAGCTGATTCCAAATATGCTATTCCTAGCTGCCGAGCAACATTTCGAAGCGAGTTATTGATTTTTGCTGCGTAAATTGGCATACTCATCAACTCATTGGCATCACGGCATCGTCACCTAAGTGCTCAAACACTTGCTCAAGCTTCTTTTTGGTGAGAAAAATTCATTGCTATCATCTCGATGTCCCAATCCTTTTTTCTAGCAGGTTCTTATCCACAGCAGCCCCATGTTCAGGAATATGCCAAACGCAGGAAAAAAGCCCATAACTCGCATCGAAATAATGCGCGGCGGCTAAGGATAGCATATTTGCAATTAGCGTTTAAAGCTGATTCAGAACGTTCATGTCCCTTGCCAAAAGGCCGAGCTAAGCTAGGTAGCTTTCCTCATTAGTAGTTGGGATAACAAAGGTGTGCGATTGCCCTTTGGCCGATGTGTTTGGCAAGGATGTGAAGACTTGTAGAGTTTTTTTTATTGAAAACTTACCTATAAGAGCTTAAAATAAAAACGAGTCAGAATTGAATTAAGTTGATGTGAGCCTCCTTGGCCCACTACATCATTAGCGGTTACAGTCAAGTTATGTTCTACCTTTTTGTCTTTTTTCAAATTAACTAAACAAGCGTTGATTTCCATTGTGATATCATCACGCATGAGAATTCAGACAAAGTTTCATTTTCATCTCAGCAAAAAATTAGTTGAAAGTGGGAATGATAAAAGAGAACATGGAAAAAAGCTTTCATCGAAATGTTTCTGTAGACATTGTTTTCATGTATACTTGTCATATCGTTCGATTCAGCTATTTGTGGAGATTCACGGCATACCATTGAAACATGTAACTTTGCTGCAACAAATAGCTCGGTTTGTTCATAAATTTTTAAACACCACATATGGGGTAAAATCTCTTGGATATGTAAATGGAGCGTGCATAAAATGTTGTGAATACTCATTTATACGGATGGACCAGCTGAGAAATCAGCTGGATACGACTTTCGCCCCTGGAACTCGTGGACGCAGCCACCGACGATGGCCAAGAAGATCTTGGATGTCTGAAGCGAGGGACAGGGAAAAATGGCAACTTCTGTACTGGGGCCCGCACGTCACGTGAGGACGGGCCATCTAAGTATCTAAGTAAGTAAGCATATAAATTTCTATTCCGCACATACGTATACACAGACATACAGACAAACAGACTTCAGCTTAATATATAAGACTAGTGACCCCACAGGTCGCTAGTAAGCGGGGGAGGGGGCAGATATATTAACATCTATTTGCGTTCAAACAAAAATTTCAAGAAACAGAATTCCATCTTCTTATCACTTTGTGTGAAATAATCAGCATGCTCAATTCCCTCCGCCTCTTGTGCCAACTTCCAGCCCCGTAGCTCGAACTTTGCAAAAATCGATGAAACCGATGTAAGTAATGGATAAATTCAAAAACTAACACTGTATTCGTAATCAGCATGCTTGATTATTCCCTGTGCCAACTCTTAGCCGTAGCTCAAACTTAAGCTCAAACGGACACCTTTATTATAATGTTTCGACAGGGCCGGGCGGAGTCGGGTAACTCAGACAGTCAAAGGGATACCTCCGGCGGGCAAATGGCGCGAGTTTGCCAAGTCGCGCTCTGGAGCGCTTCGGAGCCCTGCCATTTCACGCATTTTGCTGCTCCGGGGCTCTCCCAAAACTGGCGCACCTCCGGAGCAGAGATTTGCGCGTCCCGGAGAGGGGTCCCATTCGCCTGCTTGTGACGTCACCGTGACGTCACTGTGTCCTCACGGTGGCAGACTCGCGCCATTTGCCCGCCGGAGGTATCCCTTCGACTGTCTGAGAAGCCAGCTAGTAATACATAAAAACGACACCATCAGCCGCGGCGTCCGAGTCACGGCTGATGGTGTCGTTTTTATGTATTACTAGCTGGCTTCTCAGACGGCTTCAATCGGTTGGCACAAAAACGCATGCGAATCTTGGAATAATAAAGAGGAGCATGTCTTTGTTTAATACGCTGCAAGAGATTCTTCACTAGTGTAGACCCACGTGCTATATGGCCCGGCTCTTTTTCAAACTCGTTTCCATAGTAAATTCAGAAATACTGCCGCTGTTACAAAAACAGTAGAAGCGAGTTGTTGTCAGCCAATAAAATTTTGTTTCTCAAGAAAAGAGTCAAAAATTGATGATTTGATAGGAGAACTCAGCAAATCGTTGCAGAGACTAGCTACAAAATTAATCTTTTTGCGGTCTGCAAGCAGGAGTTTTCACCTTAATTCGCTTTCTACGAGTACGACATCTCCAAAAATTGCGGCTCGTTCTGCATTTGCACCATCTTCATACATAAGCCGTAGCTACTTCTTCTTATCAAATCTATTTTATCTGTTTTTCCAAAAACTTTAAGCTACGACCTTGGAAGCTGGCAAGGAGGTAAGAGGAAATGAACTTTACAAACAAAATATTATGGAATTGGGTATTTTCGTTAATTTCAACACCTTTTGCAAACCTTGATTGGGGCTTGAAGTTAGCAAAAAAGGAAAAGTGTAAGCAAGCATGGTAATCACAAAAACGCTGGACATGAAACTTAGATATAAAATGACAGAGGGAAGTACTGTGTAGAAATGGAACGAAATTGTAAGTTATCATCAAGGACAGTGCCGGAGCAGAGCGGGAAATCAAGCTAGTATCGTCACGTAACACGTTATGCGCAATAAAATGTTCATCTGATCAGCAGAAACGTGAGACAATATTACGTAATACGATGCAATGACCAATCTATAAAAGAATACAGAATATTCAGCGGGTGGCAGCTAAAATTATCAAAACGCCTGAATGAAATGGCAAACAGTCATTGAGTACTTTTGCTCTCAGTGTCCTCTGGAAAACGAAGAGAATCTCTTTATTGAACTTCCGCTGACATTATCCAACCATGACTAAGCTTTGTTGAGACACATGGAACATAGATATTATTTGAAACGCTGAAGTGTGTTGTCTAGCTCGTCGATGGATTCACAAATTTCAGGTAAAGGTAAAGTTCAGTAACTCCGTATTGAGACATACAGCTATAGTGTATAAATGAGTATTCACAACATTTTATGCACGCTCCATTCACTTCGTAAGAAAATAGGGCGTAGTCCAATCTGAAACTTCAATGGGTTTACATATCCAAGAGATTTTACCCCATATGTGGTGTTTAAAAATTTATGAACAAACCGAGCTATTTGTTGCAGCAAAGTTACATGTTTCAATGGTATGCCGTGAACCTCCACAAATAGCTGAATCGAACGATATGACAAGTATACATGAGAACAATGTCTACAGAAACATTTCGATGAAAGCTTTTTTCTATGTTCTCTTTTATCATTCCCACTTTCAACTAATTTTTTGCTGAGATGAAAATGAAACTTTGTCTGAATTCTCATGCGTGATGATATCACAATGGAAATCAACGCTTGTTTAGTTAATTTGAAAAAAGACAAAAAGGTAGAACATAACTTGACTGTAACCGCTAATGATGTAGTGGGCCAAGGAGGCTCACATCAACTTAATTTAATTCTGACTCGTTTTTATTTTAAGCTCTTATAGGTAAGTTTTCAATAAAAAAAACTCTACAAGTCTTCACATCCTTGCCAAACATATCGGCCAAAGGGCAATCGCACACCTTTGTTATCCCAACTACTAATGAGGAAAGCTACCTAGCTTAGCTCGGCCTTTTGGCAAGGGACATAAACGTTCTGAATCAGCTTTAAACGCTGATTGCAAATATGCTATCCTTAGCCGCCGCGCATTATTTCGATGCGAGTTATGGGCTTTTTTCCTGCGTTTGGCATATTCCTGAACATGGGGCTGCTGTGGATAAGAACCTGCTAGAAAAAAGGATTGGGACATCGAGATGATAGCAATGAATTTTTCTCACCAAGCTTGAGCAAGTGTTTGAGCACTTAGGTGACGATGCCGTGATGCCAATGAGTTGATGAGTATGCCAATTTACGCAGCAAAAATCAATAACTCGCTTCGAAATGTTGCTCGGCAGCTAGGAATAGCATATTTCGAATCAGCTTTTGAGCTGATTCCAATTATCTACGTCCCTTGCCAAAAGGCCAAGCTAAGTTAGATAGCTTCCCTTGTAAGTTATTTCAGTACTGCCCGATTTTTAGTTGCCTTGTTTTAATGAAGCTACTGTTTTAAAGTTTTGCACTTATTGCAGTAATAACGAGCAGTATCTAGAAGCAGTTTTCTTGCTTTTGCCAATGCTCAATGATTCTCGATGAAATAGCTTTGATGGAATTTCAAGCGATGAATTTGAGGCGCCAAAATGCTGTCATGCTCAAGAAAAACTTTCATGGAGCGAATTTCTGCACTGTTCGAAACGTCACTGCGTCACTGCAGTGTTCGAAGCGAAACTTACCTAATGTTTTATAAAGAGTAAGAATACAATGGGCTAGCCTCGCACACTTTTCATTCAACATAGAGAAGCTCTTTACTCAAATTTTTTAAGGTTGACAGTTATTCAACAAGCGAGGAAGAGTTAGTCTACTGCTTAGAGCTCTACGTAATATTGCCCTGCTGAATGTCAGAGTTCAATTCACCCTGCGCGATTTCTGTGGCAAAATTCTGCTCACAATTCCAGCGTCAGGCCACCCTTTCCAATAAAGGGAAGCCGGCTGAGAAACACCTCAACATAGTAGACATATCTATCTCATAAAAATCTCAACTAAAAGCTAGGGCGTCTCCGCCCCCTGGAAGCGACGCGTATTTAAGCCCGATGAGTGCGATAGTATGCGATAGTTACCGTCTCAGCAAGTTGAACGGGCTAAAGTAACCAGTCATCGGAGGCAGCGATCCAAATCTCGCAGACTTTCCTAGCTATATTTGACATGGTACTTTTATCGGGCTCTGCAGGGAGTTGGAATTCTTCGCAAAACTGCAACGAGTGAATATTTATTTCCTTATTTATGTAATACAATCAGTGGTATTCCAAAAACTAAAAAAAGCTCGACTAGAGCATTACCTTTCCTTATTTGTGTGTTTCTGTTATGAAAACAACAGAAACACAATATAAATAAGGAAAGGTAATGCTCTGGTTGAGTGTGTAATAGCAGCAGCAATCCTTGCTAGATCATCTGGTCGTTCTCCAGTTCTAAAAAAAAGGAGAGTCCTTCGTTCTCCAAGATCCTGTTCTTTACCCCTACGAAATTAGATGAGGTCATAATCCCCAGGGCTCAACTGACTGGCTTAACCTAACGAGGACAACTCCGTCAAGGACCCCGGGCGAGAGGAAAGGAGGGGCTTCAAAGAAAAGGGGCTCACCAACTTGTGATCTTCTCAAACGGCTACTCCACGCGAGGCACGCTGTGATCGCTCAAAATATTAGAGTACAAAACCAATCAAAACATTATTCAGTTTACCATATTCGGGTGAAAAACGTACTGCCCTGAATTTCGTGGATAGACACCTAGGTAACATCCTCGATTTTCAATGATTGCAAAGCGTTAGTCTTAGGCAGTCTTTTGCCTGGAAATTTGGTGAACTAGTAGACGTAGTTTATTTTTCTAGGTAGAGGCCTAACCATCTAGCCGTTTGGCACGCAAAGGAGTTAAAAGCTTTTAAAAGTTTTAACTTGCTGTAACTCAAGCATAGCCCACCAGTTCGCATCTCACAAGGTCTAAGGACTCAGTATCTACTAAATTTTAATCTCGCTTTTAGTCTGATGTTACGGAAACAAAATGCCAGATCATTACATATCGTCTGGTATCGTAATCGCAATCCCAAAGCGGTTGATTTCAGTCTGAGCTGGTAGCGATTGAGGGTAGTCGCTTTTAAAATAACATCTCTAAAAAACGATTGTAGTAGATACTTTTCGGCTTCGTGTGTTTCGAATTGTTGTTTATCAGTATTGCAAAAAATATATCCTTATGTCGTTCGCAAAATACTTTGATGTTGGGATAAGTTTGCAGGTAGGATGGTAAATCCGCTGTGTACATAAGAAGAAGGAGAGCCGAAAATATGCCGCCATGGGATAATACTCCACTGCTGCATGGAACTCTGCTTGAGAAGCCAGTACCTACACGGACCGTCATACCTCTGTCAATGTAGGTAGGACCCAACCAAAACAGCAGCTGCCCGCAGATCCCGAATTTTTTAATCTTACATGGTAGTTTGGAATGACCAACTTGGTCAAATGCCTTGGATAAATCAAAGGATATAAAATCACAGATTCCCCAACGTTCAACACACTTTTCCAATAAGAAGCAGAATCCGAAAACAATGCAGTAGTAGAACTCCAGGGAGGAAGCCCAGTTGGGCTGTAAGCAAAATATCGTTGTCTTCTTACCAATTGACAAGATGTCCACCTTTTTTTTCAGTATATCTCCAAATGCTGCAGTTATGCTGATTGGGGTATTTGAAAGAGCACTACTATGTTCTCATCTAGAAATAGCTGTTACTAGTGCCTCCTTCCAGATAGCAGGCACTACACCTAGAGAAAGAGAGGCATCAAAAATAATAGACAAAGCCAAAGCGCTAGCGAATTTACGATACACAATTTGAGGAATACTGTCATATACTAAAATCGTTATGGCCTGGAGTTATTTTTAAATTTCATAAACATTCGTATTATAAATGAACATGCGTAAGCAACAAAACGATGTGCGAGTTATAGGGTGATAGGATGTTTCTTCACGAATTGACTTTTTTTCAGTAAAAAAAGTAGGTAAAAATTTTTCTAGCGCTTCTGCTTCCTCTCTGTCACTTTTACATTGCGCCGCTCATCTACCAAATCAAAAAAAATTTGTTGACCTTTCATTTTGATTCTGAGGTATCCGTAAAGCACTTTGAAGATGAATCTAGAGAGACGTCGTTTTCGGTTAGCCAAAAACATTTTGATTTAATAGTTGATATCTGCACAAACTTTCCTACACCTATCATCATTCAGAGGGTCAGATAACTGCAAAATACCGTGGAACACGGCAAACAAGGAGACAGCAGACGGAGTAATTATAATGAAATATACAGATGCTCATTCTTGGATTGCTGCCAAGTGGCAAGCGTTTTGGAACGCTGCCAAAATTCATAAGGAGTGGAAACATATTTTCGTAAAAGGGTCACACGTATTTCGAAAAACAACCAGAGTGTCGCAATGATTCTGAGACTGGGTCGCCAGTGTCCGGGTGTGTTATTTGTACCTGCTTTTTTTCGAGATTGTTATCCCAGAATGTGTCTTTCAAATATGTTGTACTCCTATTAGTTGCTTTTGAAATGATGCCAAATTGCGTAAAAGCGTGACTTGAGCTAAATTCATCTATGTTCTTAGCTCTTGTTAAAAATGCTCTAATTAAAAACACTCACTTCAGGATTATCTTGCTTCCGCGTTAGACAAGAGAGTGTGTGAGTGACACTTGGTCTTGCTGGTACTTTTGGAAGCTTTCATCTAACAACAGCCTTACTTTTGCTTGTGTAACTGGGTCTCCCTGGTGCTTTCAACTAGGTATCGGTGTGTAAGCGGTACATAATGCAGTTCCATCGGGCAGGAAAGCAGATTTTTGTACGTTTGGGGCAGTACTCAGAATTGAAAGTCTAAAAGCGGCTCCATCGGGCAGGAAAACAGATTTTTGTACGTTTGGGGCAGTACTCAGAATTGAAAGTCTAAAAGCGGCTCCATCGGGCAGGAAAACAGATTTTTGTACGTTTGGGGCAGTACTCAGAATTGAAAGTCCAAAAGTGGCATGTACGGCAGTTTGAGAATGCGCTGTAAATACTTGATTACTATTACTACTAAATACTTGTTTTCTTTTTGATAAGTTATAAGGTTGGTCCTCCTCATAGGCAACATGAAACACAGGGTGTTTTCACTATTGAGCAGCTAAATAGGGGTGAAATATTAGGAAAGATACAACTTGGTAATTTAGATCGCCTAACATTATCATTGACCCGCGAAAAATATGCTTTGAAAACGAATCAGAATACGATTTCGCGAACAATCGTGAGTATAGTATACAGACTTTTTTCTATGTAAATAATGCTTTCACATTATTTTGAGCCTACAAAAACAGCGTAAACCAATTTCAAAGGCAAAGATTTTAGCGCAGGTTTGCTGTTAGGTCTATGTCAAATGCGTTTTAAGATACAAAAACTCAAACTTTTTTCTAGTGCTCACTTCGCTAAGCATCCATAAGATAGATGGAGTACTATCGCTTCCAAACCAGATGAAAAAACTGCGGGATCACCTATAAAAACACATTCTTGGGAACAAAATACGCGTGAAAGTATTTTTGAGCGAAAAAAGCAGATAAACGTTTCTTATAAAGGTGTGATATAGCTGGACTAAAGCAACTGTTTCTACTCTTGATATGCAGAAAAGAATATGGAAACCGAGAGTTACTCTAATGGGCAGAAACTTTAGGTGGATCTCAGTGGCGGTCCCAGGATTTCGGTCCGGGGGGGGGGGGGGGGGGGGGAGTTTTTTTTTTGAAATAAAGATGCGTGGCGTTAGCCACGTGCTCCGAGAAATTTTCTGGAGTGCATCTCAAAGTTTCTGTGAATCCATAGCCCTTGAAAAAGGAAGCGTGGCGGCAGCCACGCACCCGAAAAAATTTTTACAAGGCTATTCAAATTTTTGAAAAATTGAAAAATTACTCAAATCATTTGCAAGAATAAGCAAATCATTCGCACATTTTTATGACCCGTGTAGGTAAGCTTCAAAAATTTTGCGACCCATTTTCGGGGCGGGGGCCTTGGTCCGCCACTGGTGGATCTATAGTTTTGGCCAACAGTGTGTAATAATAGTACTATATATTATATAATATATATATCATACTAGCTGGCTTGCCCGGCTCCGCCGGGCCTGCCAGCTAGACCCGTGTACGTATGTTCCGAATAGAATTGGGACCGAACTTTGCACACATACACTTCGGGGCACGGAGCTTGTCACAGTCCACTTTTCGTTATCGATCGATGTCGATTTTACCGATTTTTTGCAAAATTTGAGCTAGGGGGCTAGGATTTTGCACAGGGGGGTAATCGAGCATGCTGATCACCCCCTTCGGGGTGATCAGCATGCTCGATTACCCCCCTCTGCCAAATCCCAGCCCTCTAGCTCGAATTTTGCAAAAAATCGATAAAATCGATATCGATCGATAACGAAAAGTAGCCTATGACACGCTCCCTGCCCCGAAGTATATGTGTGCCAAGTTTGGTCCCGATCGGTTCAGAAATAAAAATTTCTATTCCGCACATACGTACAGACATACATACAGACAGACAGACAGACAGACAGACATTCAGCTTTATATATAAGATGGTAGATAACATAACATAATACATAATTCATATAAAATTATATCGTACAAGGGGCTGAACCTTTTTCGACTAGAAAAAAACCAATCCCCCGATAGTTTTTTTGAGGAGGTCTGGCTTTCTCCTGACCGTTTTGCGACTCCCGCGAACTTCTTCCCGCAGCTCCTCGTTATCTGCCCCTTTTATACTCTGCTGAAAGGGGCGAATTGCCTAATCTTTCCGCAATTCTGTATTGTTGATCTCCAATCGATCATTTAACAATACATGAAATAATGTATTAGGTTGATGCAAAAGTTCTTTCGCACCGAATTCAAAAATTCATAACTTGTTGAATTCTCAACGAATTCACAAGATCTAAATATTGTATAAGAGGGGGACACTTGAACAGTTCGTTAATGTGCACAAATGAAGGAGATAGAAGCTCAAAACCAGAATCACTCAAAATTTGAATTTTTCGTGTAGGGTCATAAAAAATTGGAAACTTGCAACAAAAATTGGAGCAGTCAGTATTGTAGGTTCTTTCACCAGCTTTTTCTAACTGTGCGAAGTTTGCGCCGATTGAGCGTCTCTATGAAAAGTTATGATTTTCCTGAAAAATGTCAAAATATTAGGTCATTCCGAAAGTAATTACGCTTTTTTCAAACGGGCGCCACATCTGTTGGAACAAAGGTTTCTAAGAGATCTTGGAAGCATTCGATGCAACATCTCATTCTCTTTCTAATAAATAGAAAATTGTTGCAAAACAATCAATGAGCTTCCAGAAAATAACCAAAATCGGCGACCCCTGCTTTTTGAGATGGTCAAGTTTCACGATTTTTTAAACCTCTCATATCAATCCTCAGAAGGAGTATAAATAACGATTCGATGGAGTAAACCTTATAGAACACAGCGCTACTTTTTCCTTTTTCTCGTAGCTCGCCGTAATTTTTTTAAAAAAATTTTAACAGAACCATCGGATTTTGGCAGGCCCACCTCAACCACAGTCGCATCAAACATCATAATTTTTCGGAATTTGAGACTACCAAGATGACACTATGAGTCAGCATCAATTTTACAAAGCAAGTGAGGGTGTACGGGTTCAAAATATCAAATTCCGAGTTTTCGGGTACAGTTTGGGGCTCGCTAAAAAAATGAGTTAGGATGATTTTATCCCCGAAAACTAAATGAATCGAAAACAAAAAACGCCCATTAGAAAGAGGAGAAAAAGCTGCATCGAATGACACCCGAGCTGCTCAAGGTTTGATGTTCTACTAGGATTTAGCTGTCCAAGTATGGAAATCGGTAGCTTCAGTTAAAATTCTGTTAAAAATGTGTGACAAGCTATAGAAAAGAGAAAAAAATTGCGCTGTCTTCTATGAGGTTTGCTCTATCGAACTGTCGCTAAGCTCACTGATTGTTTTGCAACAATTTTATATTCATTAGAAAGAGAATGAGATGCTGCATCGAATGCTCCCACTTTAAGAAACCTTTGTTCCAACAGATGTGGCGCCCGTTTGAAAAAAGCGAAATTACTTTCGGAATGACCTAATAAATCAAATTCGCCCTTTTGTATTGCTTGCTTGAAAATCATAACTTTTCATAAAGACGCTCAATTAGCTAAACTTTGCACTATTAGAAAGAGCTAATGAAAGAACCGCCTACAATACCGGCTGCTCCGATTTTTGTTGCAAGTTTCCAATTTTTTATGACCCTACAAGAAAAATTCAAATTTTGAGTGATTTTGGTTTTGAGATTCTATCTTCTTCATTTGTATACGTTAACGAAAAACGTTCAGCTACATGTGCAAAGACCATGAGTTCCTCCCTTATACAAAACTTAGACTCTGTAAATTCGTTGAGAATTCAACAAGTTATGAATTTTTGAGTTTGGTGCGAAAGAACTTTTGCATCAACCTAATAATGTAATATACTTCAATCATTTCATGTCTTGATATTATCTGTAGTTCATAGGTCACCAGCGGCATTGCGTGCAGGACGACAACGATTTTCCTTATATGTTGGGAATGATCGATGTCGCAGTTTGAACAGGGCAGGTTCGAGGCCATACGGATGTATGACTTTCCCATTTCGTCTGCTGGCAATTTTAATAAGGAGCTCAATCTCTTAATTTCTTGATGACAATAGTTGATTTATGGTAGGAAGGCAGCTAAGGAGTCACACGGGTTGGTTGAAAAGTCCAGGCATAGAACTCAAGACAGGCAAAGAATTTAAGAAGTTGTGATGGAATATGATCACTCACGTAAGCTGGTGAAATCGTGACTGCTCGAGTTATCTTGCTTCATCAGTTTTAGCTCGATTTGTCCGCAACTTTTATTATGCTGTGAATGTTTCACATTTTGGTCTCTCCAAAGTGCAAACCAGTCATCTAGGGGTGGGGGCTATGAAAATTCTTTACGAATATGAGTCACCAATCACGGTGAGATTGCTTGGTTTGATTTTTTCGTTTTTAAATAGCGCTGCTTAAAGCATCGTGAAATTGAAAGTTTCTTCAAAAACATTTTGAAAAGCTATAACTACAGAATAAGTTATTTCTGTTTCTCTTGCACCAACCTCATGGACGCAACATAAAGTTTCTGTAAAAATGCACTGTGTAGCTTTACAGGTGATTTTACATCTCAGGCCTCTACAAATTAAACCGATTTTTGCAGACAAAATTTTAAGCGAACAAAAACTATGCAGAGAAGTGAAGTACATTGAAGCACACCTGATAGGTATAAAACCTCAACTGAAAGATATTTTAAAAAATTATGTCAATGAAATAATAAGTTTGCGGTCACGCAAAAATCTAGCAATATTTCAGCTTGTCTATGTATCGCTTTCTTTTAATGCAAGTATGCACCGGCAGCCATAAAACTGTTAGAAGAAGTATCACTCCGGATCAAGGACCGCCTAGCAAAATACAGGAATACTAGCTTGCTTACCTCAATAAAGGTCCCGTCCCTATCCATGTACAGCCTTTCCCTGTGCCCACTTCTACAATTCACTTCCCGTTCCCTGTGATTTTCGAAATCAGCATGCCTACTTACCCCACTTGCCAACTCCCAGCCCTTCAGCTCAAATTTTGAAAAAAACGATAAAATCGATAAAAGCAGTACCAAAAACTAATAGTAATTGTAATCAGCATGCACGATCATCCTCCTGTGCCAACTCCCAGCCCTGTAGCTCAAACTTTGCAGCAAATCGATAAAATTGATAAAAGTAATCGATAATTCTGAAAACTAATATTGTACTCGGGATCGCCATGCCCACTTACCCCCCCCCTGTGCCAACTTTCAGCCCCGTAGGTGAACTCTGCAAAAAATCGATAAAATGATATCGATCGATGACAAAAAGTAGCCTATGACACCCGCTCAGATAATCGCCGTGGCAGGCGGCCATGCAATTTATGGGCGGGCGGGCGCCGGAAAAATAGTTCGCAGATTTCTTTGCAGATATCTGTGAGAATTCTAGCGAAATTTTGGACGAATACTTGGAGAACAATTGCGGTTTACTCATAAATTAGCTGCGGCGCAGTGGCCGCATTCTCGCGGACTTTCCGCGAGATTATGCAAGATTTTCGAGGGCCGCACGGTCCTTTATGGAGGACCGCGCAGCCCCCAGGTACTTTCCGCTGAGAGAAAGTACCTCAAACTTGAGTAATTGAATTATCGATGACAACTCTGCCATGTAGAGTCTCACCTTTGCTCGTCTTACGCCCGAAATTGCTCAAAAGCCGTCCAAGAGCCAACTGAAATTTTGACCAGAGCTCGCTGAAAGAGATTTTTGACGAGCGCCTGCAGAAAATTCTGTGTTGCTGCCCGCTGGCAGAACATTAGATAGTAAAGGAAGTACCGCTCGCTCCGATTGCAGAAAAATCTACCGTATAAAGTTCCAA